AGGGTTGCAATCCCGTTGCTGGTCCCCGGTCCGGTACGGGGGCAACACTGAGGGTTGCGATCCGTTGCCGGACACGGAAAAAGACAAAAAACAAAAAACAAACAAACAAAAAAAAAGAATTAACTGTTCTTCTGAAATTGCAAAATAAAAACTTCAAGAGCAATAAACGCTAGTCATTTCTACGGGGCCTGTGGCATTATTTTCTGTGCTAATTTTCTCTTTGTGCTTTGGAAATTTTACATGCATCACCTGTGGTGAATAAAACCCTCACTAGAGGGAGGAATAGGGCTCCCATAATGATATGTTCAGGACAGATGGGTGGATGGGTCCATGAGGACCCTTGAGAAGTTTTTCCCTCTATCCACATCCTTCGAGGACCCATTCAAATGTAATCACTCCATCCCTCAGTGATCACTTTCTCCTTTAAACCCAGTTCAATTTATACTCAATATAGACATATATTGTGCAGGAAGTATGCTTTAGTTAAGGCAAATGGCAAAAGTAGGTGCTTAATGTTTGTCACATGAACAACTGTCATCAGTTTATATTTTAAAATGTATTTGTATTCCACCTCATTTCAAAAATTTCACACATCTTACCAAAAATATATAGTACAGGTAGACAGAAAATAACAGGAAATTAGGGTGAAAAAAATAAAGATAAAAAATAAGATGGAGAGGTTGTGTGTAAAATCTATAAAGTAAAGCTACGTAACCTTGTTATGTAAAATCTATAAAATAAAGCTACGTAACCTTGTTGCAGAATTGGCTCTGACCTTCTAGTAAGCAATACAGAGAGAAACGCAATGAGTTATATGATTCATCATTATGTCCAAAGACATACACAAACCAGTTGTTCAAGAAAAGCATGACAATTCCTGTTCATAAGACATAAGAGAAGTTTATCTGTTGCATAGTGTCACTGAGTCAAATACTGAGTAATATCCTCAACCACATCTCACAATATATAGATGAATATATTTTAGGTAAAGCAGCTCATAAGAACACATTTGGTCAGTGTGGAGGCCACAGCTGTAAAAGCAATTCTAAAAGAGAATTGTGATGGGGGAGAGAGGAACAAGTCCAGGGATACACTCCGATGACCTGCAGAAGACTGGGGATGTTAGTTAAGGTGGTGGCCAAGGCCATGGGGGTTGTAGAGGAAACAGGCCCGACCACAGCCCTGATAAAGAAGCAACCTTAGGCAGCAATGTTTTTATACATTATTACCTCTGAATGTCCCCCCTCACTCCACCCACAGCCATAGCTGCTTGTACCTTGGTAGGCAATCGACCCAAGGATGTGAATCCAGAGAGAAGTCAGCAGCTGACCACAGGGCCCCAGTATAGAAAAGATATGCAGGTGGCCAAGGTGATTCCTCTCTGAATTGAAGAGAACCGAGGTGGAAGCAGCAGCCCACAGGAATTGCAGCTATGATATGCTTTACGAGAGGCCAGGCAGTGGAATAAACGAGAAGGAAGCAGAGCTACAAAGGTCAGTCACCTGAAACTATGATGAAGAAAAGACACCGATGGAGGGAAAGAGCTGGTCAGTGGGTGGTGGGGAAGGAGAGAGCAGGCACATGGGCGTACCTGGCACATATAGGCAGGGCAGAGAACCCCAACTCCCTCCCTACGCTGAGGCCCTGGGGCTGCTGTGGGTCCTGGGCTTGTTCAGGCCCATATCCGTGAGCCTGGCTCCACCACTGTTCTCATGCTTCCCGAGGCTCTGTGGGTTGGTTTTTCCAGTAAGCCCATCATCACTGGAGGCCACTGGAAGGAATCGCTGGGTCTTTCAACTCCGGCTGAAACATATGGCCACATGCTCTCTGGGTCGTCTTGCATAAGCGTTCTCAGGACCACGCTCATGATGGGATTGGACACTTTGGTGCTCAAGGTCCAACCTCCAGTGGACAAGGGCATGCGCCCTTTACAGTGCTGATGAAGGACAGGCATACACACTTTACTGTCAGCAGGACTCATGCACACACAGAGCCATCTCACCTCCAAAGAGAAGCCAGTGGGGCAATTCCCCTGAGCAAGACCAAGGATGGCCCTTGGCCATCTTCTCAACCATATGTATCTTTTCTTTCCAACCAGACTGTAGTTGGTCCTAAGGCCACAGAATACATGCACCAGACTCTTTCATATACTTGTCTCCTAGTAAGTATTTACTCATTTGCTGGCATTTAGTGGTACCTGGAGGTGGGGTGCATGAACTAAATACTCGGCACCATGAGTATGAATTTATTGAAGTGATGCCCCTGTACTGGGTTCAACACTGTGCCCCCAAAACTCATGTCCACCAGAACCTCAGAATGTGACCTTATTTGGAAAGAGGGTGTTTGCAGATGTGATTAGTTAAAATAAGGTCATAGACATTAGGGTGAGTCCTAATTCAATGACTGGTGTCCTTATAAAAAGAGAAAACAGAGATTCAGAGACACACACAGAAGGAAGTGAGCGACATGAAAACAGGCAGAAATTGGAGTGATGCAGCCATCAGCCGAGGACTTTCAGCATTGCTGGCAACCATCCAAAGTAGGAAGAGACAATTCAGGACTCTTCCCTAGGGCCTTCAGAGAGCACAGGCCTGCTGACACCTTGACTTTGGACAGCTAGCCTTCAAACCTGTGAGATAATTTCTGTTGTTTAAGTCACCCAATTTGTGGTACTTGATACAGCAGCCATAGAAAAGTAATATACTCCCAACTGTTTTCATTCAGTGACAAAGTGTCACTGGACACTGATGGTTGTGAGCTCAGAGATGGAACACAGTGGCTCAAACTAATAAGCAAGTGGTAAGTCAGATGGCTTCTTCCATTTGGGAAGTGATGGCAAAATAAGCTAGTGAATGCAACCATTTTCATGCATGGGCATTTCATAGGTAGGAGCTCTGATATAAGAACTTTAAATGTGACTACATTGGCCGAGTGAAAATTTGGCTAAGAGAGAGAGAATCTAGGGAAGCTAACCTGAGAAAGACACCTTTTTGGGTGCCCAACTTTTCATTCCTGGCAGTGACAACTAACATGACAGAGAATATATTTCTTGCACAAAGAAGCAGGAAACATCTGGATAAATGAATCGACACCAATCCTGGTCCAGAAATGAGAAGCAGAAGCTGTGGGAACCTTTGAATACAATAGCTGGAAGCAAAGAGGTTCCTTCTTTTCCAGCCTGATCAGGTCCCCAAATTATTCAGCACTAAGGCTGCCTTACCTATGATTTAATTCTCACTTGCTCTTGACAACCACCCTTTGACATAGGTATCATAAGGGTGGGAAGATGCACACAACAATTCCATTGAGTCACTAAGATTGTTTACTTGGCTTTATCTCTACAGCCAACATTACTGTTTAAAAAAAAAAAAAGTGGGAACTGTAATAGAAATAAAATACCTAGCTCTAGCCTTCAGTGAACTTGTAACAAAAATACATTCTTTATTGAATTATACAAATTTGTTCCAGAAAAAAATGTTTCATTCAACCTTTACTATTCAACTTTGGAATTTGGTCCTGACAAGTCAGAATTTATATGCGTCTCTGGTATGCATTGGATTCAAATAGCAGAAAAACACTTTTCTTCTTTTGCAAATGGAGGAAAGTAAATTACATCTCAGCGTTCAACAAAACCAACTATCTAAAAAAAGTTTTTTTTTAACTTCTGTGATTAAATTAAACCAAGGACTAATTGAGTGCACACAACAGGGAGAAAATGTAAATATCAGAAAGGAATTTCTTCTAGTTGTTTTAATTATAAATTGACCCACTC